CTATTGGATGCAGTTTGAGCTCAGGAACACGATGGTGCCATTTATATTGGTGTACGATGTCAAATACGTACTGAAAAATTGATTTGAAAAATTAATAATTGTGAATTTTTTGCAATAATGCGTATAACTTGGCCATTATCGAAGATATTTAGCTAAAACTTGCTATAGTTAGTCATAATCATGCGTTCTGTCACATATATTCCGGTTTTTTCGAAAAGTCAAAAACTTTTTGAAAAAAATACAAAAATATAAATTTTGAATATTATTATATAAAATTTTCAAAATTTTCGAAATTTTGAAAATCCGAGATAGCAGTTTGATAGCACGGTCAATTCTGAGTCCTTTCATGCAAAGAAATTGGATCTAGCTTAAAAACTGAGCTCTTGGGAGCGATTGCCGTGGTTCAATGTTTTGCGTCGAAATCGGACGAACATGACGTCACTCTGACGTCATTTCCGGCCGACCTATGGTAGCTACGAAGTTCAAATTTTGACACAAGATGTCAAATTGATGCAGCTAAAGGTACCGAAAGTTTGGCGTCGATCCGTCAAGCGGTTTGAAAGTTATTGCGGAAAAACGGGAGGGGGGCTATAAATAGCCCCCCCAGTGGGGCGCGGGTTAACTTCAAACTCAGAAGGCATTTAAGTTAATTCGAGTATCCAAAAAGAAAAACATAAAATAAATCTTTCAAGTCTATAAATCAGGAAATAATCATGTCGTGTGTTTCTTTAAAAAAAAATGCACAATCAAAAGGGAGAATAACTCGTATTTGGAAGAATTTCGGGTACGCATCTGCAATTCACAGTGCTCCATTGATGATATACCTACAAAACAAACGTCATTGAGCGATAGATTAATAACTTTATATTTCTGTATATTCGATTTAATGTATAATTCTGCGTACTCTTACCCTCCTGAACAGTGCGTGCTCTTACCGTACATGCCATTCGCGCAAAAAAACAACCCCGAAACGTTGTGCAAAACTTCGCAAACAGAATATTGCACTGCACAGTATTTCCCCAGAAAACCTCACAAGTTTCCCACAACAATCACGGAAATGTACCTTATCTCAACTGCCAAGTATCAAAATTATTGTACTATACCATAATAATATCATAACGCTAAAAAATAATATTCATCGCCTTAAACTCAACAGCGTCGCCGCTCAACGCCCACGTTCCGTTGGTGACAAGCACGCACTGGCGGCTTCATGTCACTTCATGAACTCGACGAACCCGCGTTGCTAAGCAACCGAAACAGCTGATGCGTACTCTTATCGCCCGCGTACTCTTACCCGCCCTTACCCTATGGTAGCAGAATGTGTCGGACGTCTGTTTCTCAGACACATTGTGCAAATTTTACAAATTCCAAGCGCTCGTCATTCCCCATGCCAAGACCTTCGCTCGGTTGCAGAGTGTTTTCCTCGGGAGATGTTCTGCTTTGTAAACGGCCCAAACCTGTCCATCGTGTGGTTTTATCGGGATTTTGTGTTTAAAAGCAAATTATTCGCTGCAGATCTGCCTCTTGAAACTTCGTTAGATAAAATTTTACAATTACTGACACTTTTGGAGGGTCAGGTGTCCTTGGCATTGACGATTTTTGTGTTATTGTCCCCAAAAATTAGCGTTATATATATTATAAACAATTTTAAATTATAATTTGTCTTTATTTTACGATGACCTGCACTTTTTGAAAATGGGTAACCTCTGTCTGTGAGCTTCTTGCCAGTTTTCAATAGTTATGACCGCATTTTCAGCTGCTTTCCGGAACACGAGTCTGCTGTCGTGCGAGGGTCGTTCAAAACGCCGTTAGTCTCGCATGGTTTCGTCCTTCAAAAATTTTAGCCACCGTTTTTATGAGATGATCATCATGTTGCACTCATCCTCGCCGACACTTAGCCATGTGTCATTTCCGACTTAACCATTCCCATTACTCCTGAAACAGAGAATTTCACAACATACCCGACTTTGCAACCTACATTTTCGTGCCTGACCCATGGTCAGAGGTGAACCCTTTTTGTGAGCTCATGAAGGGTCGAATGCACTTGAAAACAATGAGACTGCTTGATGAAGGTTGTCACCAATGCCCATGCAAAATTTCGACTGTTAATTTCTTGTTGATTCAGAATTATTGACAAAAAAGCATGGCTGGTATACCTGTCAACGAACTTTTGAGACACCCTGTATATCATTCGGATTGACGAGAGGATCCCGATGGTCTGATTAGTTTGTTCCTATAGCCTGGCTACTTCGAAAGTTATTCGAGAAAAACTCTTCAATTCTAGCGCCGTCATTTTGACTTTTTTGACCCCTGTGACGTCATCTTTGACCTGACCTGAAAATGACCTTTGTAAAAAATGTAGATTTGTCCGTGCGTACCCCATGCCGTTTACCGCTTGTCGCTATCTTGCTTCGTTCTCGAGATCTCAAAGGGGAGGTCAACCGCCCCTCCCCCCGTCGTCGGTTCTAAGTTGGCGCTGACCCCCGTCGGTGCGCGGGATAATGTATATACAGTCCTACTGTCACCCTGAGTTAAGTCCTGGCTCTTGCTAAACGATTTTAACCCGCGCCCCACTGGGGGGGGGCTATTTATAGCCCCCCTCCCGTTTTTCTGCAATAACTTCCAAACCGCTTGACGGATCGACGCCAAACTTACAGTACTTTTGGCTGCATCAATTTGACACCTTGTGTCAAAATTTGAACTTCGTAGCTACCATAGGTCGGCCGGAAATGACGTCAGAGTGACGTCATGTTCGGCCGATTTCGACGCAAAACATTGAACCACGGCAATCGCTCCCAAGAGCTCAGTTTTTAAGCTAGATCCAATTTCTTTGCATGAAAGGACTCAGAATTGACCGCGCTATCAAACTGCTATCTCGAATTTTCAAAATTTTGAAAATTTCGAAAATTTGATATAATAATATTCAAAATATGTATTTTTATATTTTTTTTAAAAAGTTTTTGACTTTTCGAAAAAAACCGGAATATATGTGACAGAACGCTTGATTATGACTAACTCTAGCAAGTTTTAGCTAAATATCTTCAAAAATGGCCAAGTTATACGCATTATTGCAAAAAATTCACAATTATTAATTTTTCAAATCAATTTTTCAGTACGTATTTGACATCGTACACCAATATAAATGGAACCATCGTGTTCCTGAGCTCAAACTGCATCCAATAGACACCTTTTTTTGTTGAAAAATTTTAACTTCAAAATTTGACCTTTTTTGACCTGAAAGTGACCTGACCTAAGCTAAATTCGACTCAAAATGACCTCGAATGACACAGACGACATCAAATTCGAACTCTATGGCCTAAATGGACCATAAAACATGTGTCACGTGACCGAAGCATGATAAAATATTTTCGTGACCTGTGATGACCTGACCTTGACCTGAAAATCAAAGTAAAAGCTTGGTACCCTCAGGGTATCTAGAGCATCTGTTTAAGAGTGTGTGTACCAAAAATGAGCCTGATCTGACTTGTAAAACGGCGGCCAGAGCCCAAAATGTGAACAAGCCAAAATGCTAATAATTTTTACTTTGACCTGACCTGTGACGTCATCGGTGACCTCGAGGTCAATGAAATTAGGTTTCGCTCGACAGTTTTTCCGGGGCTATCAGACGCCGTTTGAATTTTGACGATTGGCCCAGTGGTTTCGGAGTTAGGAGGGGGGCTATGAATAGCCCCCCCCCCCCCCCCAGTAGGGCGTGTTATACACAGACCCCAGTGGGGCGCGGGTTAAGTGTCTGAAAATGAAGCGATCAACACGCTGCTTCACCGAAAGCTTTACCATGAAACGTCATTCCTTTTCCCCAATTAGACATGTCATACCTATATTGCAACAGAAGATTTTCTTTATGCTTTAGAAGCAAGCTCTGCTTTTAGCAAGCTTTCAACGACCATAAAAAAACAATTATTTTAATAAAAATAAGCCCAACATTTTGAAACTCGCCAGAGCTAGAGGCAGAGTGGGAGGCTGTTAGACAATTAGCTGGTGTTTTGTGAGTACTTTCGCAGAGCGCCAATCTAGACATCTAGACACTGATGCTATGTTGGAGCGAAATTTCATTAAAATTAAGGCGGATTAAATAACAAATAAAATGATATTTCGTAACTGCTGGCTGCACAAAATTAGACAAGAAAATAAAACTTATTTTTAACTAAATGATAACCGGTAAGATATAGCTCGTAAAACCTCTTATCATTAGTTATTGTCTTTTGTTTACCAACCAGCGATTTTGAGGATAACACACGATTTTGAGAACAAACGACGCCAGTATTATGTATCCTTCCCTCAACCTATGCCCACATCCTTTTCTCATCGAAAACATTTAATAAAATGTTTGTCATGGTACATCAACGCACTTGTGTTGTGATTTACGACAACCTTTGTCCTCAGCGCACACCACCCCAGGTCAAACCAGACGATCGTGCGTCATGAGATGGTGCTTGTTGAGTTCGCCTCCCACTTAACTGTGATAACGATTAAAGAACACAGCCAGATTCAAGTGCGTTTGGTGCCAGCTTTGTTTGTGTACGAAGCACCATACCCACGGATAACTCAACCACAGGTGTTGTGTTGGGTAATCAAAACTCTTACTAGTCACGCCGTGCAGAGGCATTTATGTAAGGCCACAAACTGGGCGATTGGTTGACGACACTGAAAATCCGAGACGCGCTTATAGCATCGTTTACTAACATCAGCTACCCGTCCTTGCGATTTCTTGAGTCGTAGAAATCTTTTGAACATATCTAACAGTGCACCTGAATCTGATTTTGTGCAGTGCACTATGATGAGTTCTCCTGTTTTTCACATATGATATGTTCTCCTGTTTTTATATTTCACAGTTTAACTCATCAACTGTTACAGGCACAGCCTCTTTCAAGTTATCACGTGCTGTTGCCAGATCGCGCCTGTGAGGCCGTGACGTCACACATGGTTGCCAGACCGCGGTCATATGACTCGGGCTGGCCGCAGTCTATCTGAAGAGCCTGATAACATGAAGTTATAAAGGAGGACGCGGATGATGAAAAGTCACGCTGTTGGTGGCCGTCCCTCGGACCTCAGGTCACCCTCAAAACTTCCAGGTGAGAACAGGCTAAAGCCTTGCATTCATTAGCTTCTACTCTTTAATCACAGATTCATATGCAAGTTGAATTTCAAATGTAGCCAACTACCGATAGCATTGACCTCACTCAGCTTTTGCAAAATTGTCAGAGAACTCGGACTTGTTTTCAGTAATCAATCGAAAACAAATCTAATGAATAGTGTTAAATTGACCACAAACCTTTGTTATAAGAGGTTACTCTCATATCTCTCATAATAGTACTCTCATATCTCTCAATCTCTCATGCTCTCATATCTCTCTCAACCTTATTCTCATATTAGCCAAAAGATATAAAAATTCAAAAAGACAAAATGCAGATTATAGGGAGGTTTCGGCTTTGCGCCTTTATCAACCGTTATGTACCTGAAAAAAAACTAATTTCTATCCCACTAATTTCTATCTCTTTCTCTCAAGGTGCTGCGCTCGACGGAAATAACCCGTTTTTCAGGATGCTGCTCACCTCAGTGTAACATTTCGTCCCAATTTCTCAAATTGCTGCGCGCGCAAAAGACGCTGCTCCTGCCGGTGTATGATTTTCCGTGCCATTTTCCATGCAGGATGCTGCGCTACGCTCTGTAATTTTCCGTCCCGTTTCCTCAGGATGCTGCGCTCGGCAGTGTGAGTTGTAATTTTCTGTCTCGTTTTCTCAGAATACTGCGTTTTGTTACATTCCGTCCCGTTTTCCCAGGATGCTGCAAGGGCGCGGGAACTACTTTCCGACTGGGGGGGCACACCATAATAGAGATTAACCTAGGGTACCCCCAAATCTAGTTTTCTCACCGGTTTTAGGCCACTTATTTTTCACCCCTCGGCTTTTTCAACAAAAAAAGAAAACATTTGCAAAAAAAGTGTGGTATTCCGTCTCAAAGCTGTGGGGGCACCGCCCCCACGGCCCCAGAGTTGGGGGGGCAAGCTGCCCCCACTGCCCCCCCCCCGGCTCCCGCGCCTATGGGATGCTGCGCGCGGTGGTACTCTCGCTGCTGCTGCTGCGCTCGGCGGTGTAACAATCCCTCCTGTTTCCCAGGATGCTGCGCTCGGCGGTGTAACAATCCCTCCTGTTTCCCCAGGATGCTGCGCTCGGCGGTGTAACAATCCCTCCTGTTTCCACAGGATGCTGCGCACGGTGGTGTAACAATCCCTCCTGTTTCCACAGGATGCTGCGCACGGTGGTAGCTCTCGCTGCTGCTGGCTGCTCCTGCTGGGTGCGACTTTGTAACATTCCGTCCCGTTTTCCCAGGATGCTGCGCACGGCGGTTCTCTCGCTGCTGCTGGCGGCGGCAGTGCGGGCCGACACCCCGGCCAACTGTAGCTACTCCGACATCCAGGGCGAGTGGCTGTTCTACTCGTCGGAGCCGACCGGCGACAGCAGCATCCAGTGCGATGACGCCAGTGAGTGGAGGGAAACGATGCAGAGTTCGGACGCGTTCATGATTGGTGTTAACGAACTCGGCATTATGAATTTGTACATACAAGTACATGCATACATGATAAATGTTCAAGTACGGCCAGTTGTTTGGCGTAAAAAGAGTGGTGAAAATAAATACGAAATTTTTGTGGGATTTTGCAAATCACGTGTGAACTTACTTTGTCTAAAGTCAGCATATGTCGAGAATCTGCTAGCGAAAAGGGTGCATGCAAAGTTTTTTTTCAAGGACTAAAGGAGTGTCTTTGAATGCTTCCTAAATCTACATATATATCATTATATTATACACAATCGTTCTTGTAGGACAGAACGATGCCTGAGCATGCTTCGATGCGTCAGCGGCACGTTATAACATTATTCCATCTTGTTTCTCCCCGGCAGCGCCGATGGACACGGTGATCGCGCTGTCCCTGCAGGCCCCCAACACAGTGGTGGACACGTTCGGCAACGTGGGTACCTGGACTCTGATCTACAACCAGGGCTTCGAGGCCACCGTCAACGGACGCACCTACTTCGCCTTCTCCTACTACACTCAGGTCAGAAATACACTACATAATGGTCAGAAATACACTACATAATGGTCAGAAATATGCTACCTAATGGTCAGAAATATACTACACACAGGTCAGAAATATACTGCCCACATATCAGAAATACACAATATAATGGTCCGAAATACACTGCTCACTGGTTAGAAATGTACGACATAATGGTCCGAAATACACTACTTACTGGGCAGATATACACTATACCTACAAGTCAGAAATGCACCGCATACCGGTAGCAAAAATCTCCAAACACAAGGAAGGTAGTGTAGATTGTAGAAATACACCTACATATACACAGCAAGGACGTTTCGCGGGGATACACTTGAAGTCCGAAACTAGTCAAACAAGATAGCGTCCATTATCTGACACCTTATCAACGACCTGACATGTGATCTTAATCCAACAGACCGCTGAAAAAGTCCGTGTTTCAATACTTGATATCGATAACCTAGGTTGGTCTGACCCAGGTCGACAAGTGTGTGTCTAAGATGAACGTTATCTATATAAAAAACAAAGGTATTCAGTAATCGTGCGATGCGCCGATCGTGTGATCTCTTATCGGCAAAAGCTAGCAGACTCTGTGTGTCAAGAAGGCGGTGAATGCGTCATTGGGAAGTGTGAACTAAGAATTGGCTCGGAACTGTAGGTTGACAGGCAGCATGAGGCTGTTCACTGTTCAAACTATGTTTCACCAGAAATTTAATGAAAAAGCAAATGACGCATCATGTCCATTATGCTTCGGTATATATTCCTTACCTATATTTCACAATTGTATGCATTAATGGCTTCAACTTCTACCTTTTTACTAGTAAAACTATTTCACATTTAGCCATGCAAAATGCAGGCGTGGCAATTTTGTATTTCCCGTGTTATACCTAATAATGAACAATCAAGCGTTCACTTGTGTCACGACTCTTTGTTAAATCATAACTCATAAGACGGCGATGTCGTCACAAGTCGGTGTGACCATATATAATGACGTATAATGACGTTCTGATATAATGACGTAATTTACAGTACGGTGAGGTGACCAGTCCGTGTGACCGCCCATTACTGACTTAATGACGTCATTTACAGGACGGTGAGGAGGTGACCAGCCTCTGTGACCGCCCATTACTGACTTTATGGACGTCATTTACAGGACGGTGAGGAGGTGACCAGTCTGTGTGACCCTCCAGTACTGATCTTATGACGTAATTTACAGGACGGTGAGGAGGTGACCAGTCTGTGTGACCAGCCAGTACTGATCTTATGACGTCATTTACAGGACGGTGAGGAGGTGACCAGTCTATATGACCGCCCATTACTGACTTTATGACGTCATTTACAGGACGGCGATGACGTCACAAGTCTGTGTGACCGCCCAGTAATGCTCTTATGACGTCATTTACAGGACGGTGAGGAGGTGACCAGTCTGTGTGACCGCACGTTCCCGGGATGGTCTCATGACGTCACAGTTCGTAACTGGGCCTGTATCCGAGGCCAGAAGCAGGGACCGAGCATGCCCAAAACGCACCGCGTTCGACTGGCTGATGCCGCCAAGGTAGGAGCTGCAAGCTAAAAGTTGCAACATAGGGAAAAGCTGAGCGAGGTGTAACATGGTGCAATTAGGGGGGAGTTCAATGTAAGGCGTTTTGCCCTCTTGAAAGTTGAGTTAAAATGGGGGAACACGGAGGTCCTTTACATACATCATCCCCAAGTTGGTGTATGTAGCTCGAAGAATGCAAGTATGTAGTTACCGATTTGTTCGTAATGTGAACGAGTAATTAATGAAAATCGTTTTGACAGGCCGGCAAAGAAAATAAATTTGCCTTTGACATTAAAAATTAACATCAAAATTATAGTCGATATATTGAGGTAAACAGCGAAACAACAATCCTATGATGAACACTCTAGCCCGTGAAAAAACGTTTATTCCTCACAAAAATGTTCTTTTTGGCAGGCTGCCAAGAAGTATGTCAACAACCACGCACTGATTGCCGCCATCAACGCGCGCAAGGACAGCAAGTTCACGGCCAAGGCGTACCCGCAACACGAGAAGTACACCGTGGCGGAGATGTACCGACGCAGCGGCGGAGCCAGGTGCGTGACATGGGGGGGGGGGGCGGAGATGTACCGGCGCAGTGGCGGAGCCAGGTCAGTGACATAGGGGGAACAGCTGCGGCGCAAGGTACGTAAGTAAAATAAGGGAACAACGGCGTAAAAAGGGACACAGGGGCGGAGCCAGGTGCGTGACATGGGGGCAGAGCAGGGGCGGAGCCAGGTCAGTCAAAAAGGGGGCAGTGATGCTAGGTCTGTAAAAGATATAGATGTAAACGTGGCACCGTCTTAGTTTTTGTGTTCAATTTATTCTCGGTCACCGGTATAAATAACTCGTCCATTCCAAACTTCATAGACCGTGACGACGCCATTTTGTCTCCTCTCCCCCAATGACGTCATTTGACGCGCTCCCTTCCTCCCGTACAGGTCGCACCTGCCGCAGCGGCCCAAGGCGGCTCCGATGACCGAGGAGCACCAGGAGATCATCAAGTCTCTGCCGGCGAGTTTCGACTGGGGTGACGTCAATGGAGTCAGCTTCGTCCCTCCCGTCCGGTGGGTGTTGCGATTAATGTTAGTCCATTTTTTGCATCATTTTTAATGTGTTCATCAAATGGGGCAAGTAATAGTTATGCCGGGCGAAGACGTTTGATGGGCGAATTCTTTGGTTATCATGTGACGCCGTTTGTCTCAGGTAACCAGGCCAACTGTCGCTCCCCACTCCCTTTTACACCCCTATGGTGTGTTATTCACTCCTTACACCCCTCTGACGTGTTCCCCAGTGACCAGGCCAACTGCGGCTCGTGCTACGCCTTTGCCTCGATGGCTGCACTCGAGTCACAGGTGCGCATTCTCACCAACAACACTCAGCAGCCCGTCTTCTCACCCCAGGTGAGCTGTCTTACCTCGCCCTCGGTGAGTTATATCTTCTCACCTCAGGTGGGATATCTTGCTACGATATGGCTCATTCCAGAGTTATACACTGTGTAGGTACACCCCATGTAAAGCCGTCTTCAGTCTTAGATCACTCATGATTCATGAGTGATGTAGTAGAAGTGTGCAATAGGCTATATGCTTTGTAAATTGTAACCGTATTCTCCATTGTTTTTTTCTGGGAACGCTCAGAGTCAGACTTTTAATTGCAATTTTCGAAGATTTAAAGAAAAAAAGAGGGAAAGTTCTCACTATGATTCCCTCAAGTCACTATTTCATCCCGTATCGTCAATTAACTTTTTTTGCCCGCTTACCATGCTCTTTCATTGCTCTGCCCTGAACATAATGTCTCCAATGACGTCATTTTCTTTATTTCACAGGACATTGTCAGCTGCAGTGAGTACAGCCAGGGCTGCGACGGAGGATTCCCATACCTGATCGCCGGAAAGTACGCCAAGGTACGTCATCCTACGTCACTGGTCTGATTTAATAACGAGAAAAACCAATGCGATTTTACCTAAGGTTACAAGGCATGGCTCATACCGAGGCATTTGCATGATTAGGTTTTGGGCATGTCGATGAATAATATATAGATATGAAACGATAGGGAAGAATGCGTAACGTCTCAGTATACATATATGTACAAAAAGTTCTCGATGTGTCATGCTTAGACGCACTATGTACCTTAACTGTGTTTCTGACGTCATAAGATCTCTGTTGCCGCAAATTATCCCCGTGTTGTTCTGCCAGGACTTTGGCGTGGTTGTTTTTGTGTTTTTGACGTCACAAGATCTCTGTTTCTGTAAACTATCCCGTGTTATCGTTCTGCCAGGACTTTGGCGTGGTGGCGGAGTCTTGCAACGAGTATCAGGCTGTGGACACGGCCACCTGTGGCACGGACTCGAGCTGCGGCCGCACCTACACCGCCACCTACCAGTATGTCGGAGGTAAGAGACTCATACAACTACCAGAATAACGGGGGTACGTGGCATCTACACCGCCACCTACCAGCATGTAGGAGGTAAGAGACTCACACAGCTACCAGCATAACAGGGGCACGTGATACCTACACCTGCAACAACGCCTCTCATAAAAATTTCTAAGATTGTAAACCAATAAGCTGCGATTTCAATCAGAAATTAATAAATTAATGTCACCGCTTTTAGATATGCAGTGCCATGTTGTAAGTGGGTACCTGACCTGACCTGACCTCTACTGACCTTCTCGCTGCAGGTTACTACGGCGCCTGTAATGAGGCCGTCATGATGGAGTCGCTGGTCAACAACGGGCCCCTGGTCATTGGATTCGAGGTCAGTGGAACAGCGCCGTCAGAGACGAGACTCCGGGGGCAGGGATATGGATGTCCTCCTATCAACCCACATCTTTGCATATCAGAAAATGGAATGAGCCTCAATATATAAAGCCCATCGACACAATTATTTTGTACTTATTTTCAGAAAAACTGTTGCTCTTTTTCAAGAACTAGCTATATTTTTCACTCAGGCATCGCGTTGCCCGGCACTATTTTCTCTCTCATTTCTAGTGGCTCCTCTTTTTTGTCAGACATAATTCCGCAAACCACGGGAGTTGTCTCTAAGATAAGGTCTTTTCTATTTCTATTTTAATTACTTTTTTATTCAACATTCTCTTTATTTACTTCACGAGACTTATCGGCAGCACTGCTACATTTCCGACTTTCCCTTTTCCTCCACAGGTGTACGACGACCTGCGTCCGTACCAAGACGGCGTGTACCACCACGACTTCACCCTGGACCACCTGAAGAGCAGCGAGTTTGATCCCTTCGAGCTGACCAACCACGCCGTGCTCATCACCGGGTACGGCGTGGAGGACGGCGTCAAGTACTGGAACGTCAAAAACTCGTGGGGAAACGACTGGGGCAACGGCGGGTACTTCAAGTAAGAGTATACCGCAAAGTGGGGCTATTTGAGACAGTGGGGCTATTTGAGACAGTATTTAAAACCGCTATTAAATGAAGATCGTTTGATTTTGTGTGATATTTTTGCACAGGGAGGTATGGAATCGAGCAGTAAATCGCCTGAGCAAAAATTAAGCATAAATTTCAAATGGTTTTTATTTTATAACAATTTTAAATACTGTCTCACTGTCTCAAATAGCCCCACCTTACGGTACCCTTATTATTTATAGTATAGCCTTAACATACCCTTATGGTATACCCTAAATATACCCATAGGTGAGGCGACAACAAACACGAGCAATCCTGTTCCATGACAGCCCGTGCTCATACAAATTGCTCTACTGATGGGCGAATTTGTAAGAAAATACGCGTTCGCGCAATTACTTTCCACCCTGTAAGTGGCCCAGGAGCCGGGTTAGTAGTGTTGGGTGTTCAAACACCCACCAGCAGGGCGTGGAAATCCGGGATCTTCAGCGGGGCGCGGGGTAATTTAAGCGCGATCAGCAACCATAAGTAAGCATACCTACTACCAACTAAAAAATTAGACCGACAAGGGCGAATTTTATTTCAAGTATCGCCAGTCTCAAATATCAAATATAGCCCTCAGGTCAATGGCGTTACATGGGTGTGAACAAGGCATCAACAATACACACAACACCCACCCACCCACCCACCCAAGGGAGTTGAAATCCAGGAGTCCCAGCGGGAGCTAGATGTCGGTGGCAGCGTGTCACAGAAAATAATCTATAGGTATAAGCGCCCTCAAGGAGCCTAAAAAGTAACCCATTTCCGCCCCGTTGTGTTACAGAATCCGTCGCGGAACTGACGAGTGTGGCATTGAGAGCATCGCAGTTGAAACTAAGGTGGTGCTCTGAGACTGGCGCTGAAACGCTGGTGAAGGACTCGGCAGTGGAAACAAGTACGTTTAGCGTAATGTTGTGCTATAAGACAGGCAGCTTTAAACCAATGGCAAAGAATACGACACTGTAAATAAGTACTTTCAGCGTAATGTTGTGCTATAAGACAGGCAGCTTTAAACCACGGGGGAAGTAGGTATAAGACACTAAATAAGTGCGAATAGTGTAAAGTCGAACTGTAATGTAGACACAAGCATTGTCAAAGGATTCCACAACATAAATAAACACGACTGGCATACTTTTTTGCGCAAAAAAGCCGTGTTTATATGGAGCTTTAGACAGAAAAGCTGTTGCTCTAAGCATGGAAATGATAGCAACAAAAGGGACCGAAGTCGAAATATATACCGATGAATATATAACAACGTCAATGTAGAATATCCAAGACAGTTAGGATAAATGATAACAATAACACGTCAAATGTATATTTAAACACACAAAGCTTTCGGTATGAAAATACCTTGATCACTGTGTTAACAGAAATGAGGACAGAAATTGCTCATTTCTGTCCTCATTTCAATTTCATTTCAATTTCAATTTCATTTCAATTTCTGTCCTCATTTCTGTTAACACAGTGATCAAGGTATTTTCATACCGAAAGCTTTGTGTGTTTAACCCTATTCCTGGCGGGGGGGGGCCTCAGGAGCCCCCCCCCTGAGGTTTTTTGGTTATATCTCCCAAACGCGTTGAGCTAGGAAGCTCAAATTTTCTGACTTTTCCTAAAAGGCTTCTACGCAACATGTCTGAAAATTTTGAGTTGATCTGACCTCAGGTCAGGTCACCAGAGGCGGTTTGGTGACCCTACCTCAGAAAAGTTTGCAATCACGCCAGAGCTAGAGTTTTTGACCGATCAATTTCTTCTCTTCAGGGTTTAGTTAGGGTACCAGTATGTGCAATTTGTATATCTCGGAATTTTGATATCGGTGACCTAAGGTCAGGTCAATTTCGCGACCTCCCCATTATAAGTCAATGGGGGAAAAATCAACTCCCTGTTTTTACCACTAAAACGGGTCGGAATGGCCCCATATACCATACATGACTTCATATACGATCAACCTTCACTACCTTGAGGTCTGTTTTGCTGTTGGGCAGCTGTGAGGTCATGTGACGTCATCAAAGGTCACCAAAGGTTTTTAGCTAATAACTCCGTACAGGAACAAGATACAGACACGTGGATGGTCTCATTGTGTTCAGCTCGTCAAGACGCATCGAATGATATACATGATGACCTCGAGGTCACGTGACCTGAGGTCAACCTTTGACCTTGACCTTTCGAGGTCAACATATATATCATTCGATGCGGATTGACGAGAGGATCACGATGATGCCCTTAGTTTGTTCCTATCTTGACTAATTCGAAAGTTATTCGAGAAAAACTCTCTCCATATCTAGTGCCGCCATTTTGACTTTTTCGACCCCTGTGACGTCATCTTTGACCTGACCTGAAAATGACCTTAGTAAAAATTGTAGATCTTGGCCGTGCGTATCCGATGCCGTTTACCGCTTGTCGCTATCTTGCTTCGTTCTTGAGATCTCAGGGGGGGGCCGAATCGGCCCCCCCCCCGCCAGTTTCTTGTCCCGGCGGAGCCCGCCAGGAATAGGGTTAAATATACATTTGACGTGTTATTGTTATCATTTATCCTAACAACGTCAATGTTATTGTGCAATTGTGCATTTCAGTTTATGCTCAGTACCTTTAGGTAGAACCCGCCTTATCTTTATTTTACTTTAACAAAATTGCTCAGATATAAAAGTCAGGACCAATAGGAACCACTCAGGGACCAGTCGTGTCATTTTCAGGAACATTACACTGCCGCCAAACACTAAAAAGAGGAAGGTCAACCTTGCTTGACTTTTTCATTCACCTTTCTCATATTACTCAGCTTTTGGCCGCAGCCTGGCAGCTGGCACCTTTTCAACCTGGGCCTCGTTTCATAAAGCGCTGCCGTAACCTTTTCAACCATGTCAATGTCGTCATTCTCTTCATTCCCTTTCCTCGACATTTAACCCTGCCCTGACCCGATGAACCCATGATCAAGCCACATTATTAGCTGACTGATTATTGAATTAACCGTGAAAACATTAACCCGCGTCTCGCTGAGGCTCCTGGATTTCTACGCCCCTGCTGGGAGGGAGGGGGGAGGGGGTATTTGAACACTTGGCTACCTCGACTCCTGGGCAATGTAGCAATACTGGGTGGGAAGCGCTCGAACGTACATAAAAATAATGACAAAATTAATTTGTTCTTCTTTTTGTCAGGTCAAATGTTCAGTCCCCAAAGGTCGTCAAAGGCCAAATTTCGCCGATTCGAAGGTCGAATGTCGACAACTAAAAGGGGGGGGGGGGGGAAGCGGCGCGGTGCGTAACTCTGAAAACAATAGGTACAGCTACGGCTCCCCAGAACAACGCATTTGATAGCCCTATCAATGCTCTTTTTGAATAAACTCTCAGGTTTGACCCAACGTCAACGGGTTTGCCGGCTGAGAGCAGAAACTGCCAAAATAGACGATTTTTGAGGAAACAATTATCTTTCTGCAGCAACTTTTGATTCAAAACTTGCACGAGTTTACTTTTACCGGCATCGTGTTCCTCCCTATCATGCCATGATTTGACCTTGAAAGGCCAACTTGAAAATTTGACCTCAGGTTAAGTGACATAACGACGCATTGGTTAGGTTTGCACCAGGAATCGCCATCGTTAAACGCCACTGTGAGGTCACTAAACGTAAACTGGTGACCCGACCTTGAGTGACCTTGGTCTGAAATTTTAACATGTGCATAATGATGCACGATAAGGTGTGCCAAAAACGGCGCCGCTATTTTTGTAGATATTCGCGAAAGACCGCAAGGGGTGTTCAAACATCCCTTCCCCCTGCAGGGCGCAGACTAACGCCGTAATTCTTAATATCTCGCTGTGTTTTTGTTTCAGGATCCAGCGCGGTAACGATGAATGTGCCATTGAAAGTCTGGCGGTTGAGGTCAAGGTCGTCCTCTGAAGGGGTCAAGGTCGTTCTCTGAAGAGGTCAAAGCCATGTTCTGCCGAGCAAGATAATCGCGACCTTTCACCCCAATGAATGTTGTGTGTGTACATGTATGTTTTTGAGGTCATAAACTGTCGTTAAACAAATATAGGACCTCCTGGAGACTGCCTTTTGAACTTTGAAGCGTCACTCTCCAACTTATTACGTCAAGGGGAATGGAATGAAGCGAGGAAGGTGGTGTAACCGGATGTATAGAGTGCTGTGAGCAGTAACGTGGTATGTAATTAGTAGCCCTGCGGATATTCCAATTAGTAGGTGCTGAGGATCCACGCTGCACAACTAGGGATACACGATGCACGACTATAGAAACATCCAAGAGCAGCTCAGCCACCGTAGACGTGTTCAGTTCAACAATATTTTTTTTTATTTAAACATACAACGACATCCACTCAAATGAGGTCTTCTCAGTCGAGGCACTTTATATAAATCCTAGCCTAGACAAGATACCTATGGCATAAAAAGAACACTGAGTCACAAGGTTTCGGCGTGTGATTTTGAGCACGTAGAAACACCAGCCTACGCTCTGGTTGCCTGTATTGACTCTCTGGTGAGGACGGCGACGCCTCCACCAGACTTCTTACGTCCGACAACCTGGGCCGGTGATAGCAGCACGCTGCTATTCTGCTGACGTCACACTTGTGGTAGTGTTGGAGCAATGGGCTTGTTGACGTCTCCATGGAATCCCAATTTGACATGTGTAATAGCAGCGGGCCGCTATCACCGGCAAAACACCACCCGGTTTCGTCGGGAGATGTTATACCTAGCAGAGGAGGCCGACTAGACGATCGGGTGTGCCAGTTTTCAGGTTCGTTTCGGTAAAGCACAGAATGTCGGCGTTTCTCGGAGTGAGCTCTTGGAGATCATCTGGTAGTTTTGGGATTAGGAGAAGAGCCTGAATGTTGAGTAGTTCTACAGTTATGTAGGTAATCTTAGATTGATGATTTGTCTCCGTCTGTTGCTGTAGCAGCTGACGGGTTTGGTGCGCGGTCAGACGGGGCGGCCCCAGGAGACAGCGAGCTGCAGGCCGGTCCAGGCGCGGTCGGGGTGGGGATGGGTGGCGCCCTAAACGGAGAGGTCCAGGGGCCCATCACCGGGATCGGTTAGCTGGTCACCGCTCCCTCGTGCCTTGGCGCTGCGAAACCGTCACCCGCCTTGTTGCTGTTATTGTTTGTTCCCTCCAGGTCGACCTCAGTCGACTGTAGCCTGACGGCTCTGCAGGGTCCTGGACGCGGCCGCCAGGGCCGCGACAACTCCGTCGCTCCGCACCTCTTCCCTGTTGGGTCTGATTGTCCCGGTGAGTCGCAGCCTGGCGCCCATCAGGGCCGAGCACTCGACCAGGACGTGGTACGGAGTATCCGCCGTCTCTCTGCACAGGCACCCTGGCATTCCACGTCTTCGCACTGCGGGCAGTGTCGCGACGGGTTCCGGCCGATTCGGTGGAGGTACTGGGCGGAGCCCGACCAGTGCCCCGCTCGCAGCTGGTGCACATCCACCGCCGCTGCTCGATCCAGGTGTCTGACTGGTCTCGGCAGCTTCGCTCCCATGATGCTGCAGTACCATCCGCGCGGCCAGTCGCTGACCCACTGGGCCCGCGCCGTCCTTGCCACCGCGCGGTACACCGTCATGGCGTCGATGGGGACTTCCTCTTGGTCCAGTGCTGAATCTTGCTTCGCCAGTTCGTCCGCTCTCTCGTTCCCGGGCAGGCCGCAGTGGGAAGGTACCCACTGCAGGTAGGTACTCCTGCCGCGGGCCGACAGCTGTTGAAGCGCCGCCCAGATTTCTCCTCCTATGAGCGTTGTTTGTGTAGAGGGGCCAGCCCGGAGCGCCGCCAGTGCTGACTGGGAGTCCGTGCATATCACGATCGGCTCAGGAGGGATGATTTGTCGGTCCAGCAGGAACTTCAGCGCTTCTCTGAGCCCTGAGGGCTACCATTTCAGCACGGTAGCTGGAGCAGATGTTCCCCGCCGGCACCGTGAGTAGGTGCTGCTGGCCGTCCGGGTCCTCGATGAAGACGCCAGCGCCGCCGTTTGTGATGCCTCCCTCTACCGAGCCGTCGGACCAAACCCAAGTCGCGCACTGTGGCAGGCTACCTAGGTGACAGGTCGCCGCGTCTCTCTTCTGTGTGGATGTCGCATTCAGTGGTAGTGGTCCCACATCCAGGCTGATGGTGACCCCGCTCTTCACTTCCCACGGGGGATGCTCGTCTCCGATACTGGGTCGATAGGGGGCCGACACCGGCCGCCTCCCACATCTCTCGTCCCAGGGTTCTCCAGCCCGTCACGGATCGTAGACGGGCCGGGGCGTCCGACGCGGCCACTCGATGGAGCGGCTACTCCGGGGGAGGGAGCGGTCGCCTTGGCCAGGAATCGCGCTGCCAGTGTCTTTCTCCTCACCGATACCGGGCGAAGGCCCGCTTCCGCCATGAGCGCGTCCGATGGGGTGCTGCGAGTGCACCCCGTGACGACTCTCGCCGCCGCTCTCATTTCCCTCTCCAGAAGTTCCACGTGGGAGGGCGGCGTGGCAGGGAGCCAGGCTGCCGCGGCGTGCTCCAGGACTCCTCGGACATAGCCACTGGCTACTGTCCGGAGCAGGTCCTCCTCGAGGCCCCAGGGGCGTCCGGTCAGCTGACGCAGCTGCGCGGTGCGTGGGCGGACCTTTCTCCTCAGCTTTTGGCAGTGGGAGCCGAAGTGGAGCAGACGGTCTAACTGCACGCCGAGTAGGTTGATGGAGTCCGTGGCCGACACTCTTCCCCGCCATCTTGATCTGGCAGTCGACAGCGTCGCGGTGCCACTGCGACAACACCAGCATCTGGGTCTTCTCAGCTGCAACGACCATCTTCGACTTCTTTGCCCAGGAGAGAAGGGCGTCTGCTGCCCTCTGGGCCCTGTCCTTGGCTATCTGGATGGAGTTCCCGGCGCACAGTGCTGCGGTGTCGTCCGCGTAGATGTACGGTGAGATACCGGGGATGTCGCGGAGATCTTGCACGAGTGTCGCCGCCCATAACAAAAACAGGGACGGCGAGAGCACACTACCCTGCGGCAGGCCCGCTCTGAACACTCTCCCCGCTGAGCACCCCGTTCACCTCTACCTTGACTCGACGATCTCTGAGCCACTGCCACACCCAGTTCACCATGCAGGCCGGGAGGCCCTGTTCCAGCAACCGCAGTCTGAGGAGGCGGTGGTCGACTTTGTCGTACGCCCTCGCAAAATCGAACGCGAGGAGGACGTACTTCTGCGCTGTGGCGCCGTCTTGATGGTTCTGGTGTCTCGGTCGGGGGAGCTGCCACCCATCTTGTACCTCCTGCACGAGGCGGCCGATGCTGTCCTCCACAGAGCGGTGAGCTGTGAAGCCCACCTGCTCCGGCGGCACCATGCCCCTGCTCTCGCTGAGGTAGGTGAGCCGGGCCAGGATCAGTCGCTCCGCCATCTTCCCGACGTGGCTCGTCGGGCAATGGGACGGTAGCTGCTGAGGAGCCTCTTGTCTTTCCCGGCCTTGGGGATGGGCATCACTGTCGCCGCACGCCATTCTCTTGGGACTTCTGCTGTCGCCCACGAGGTGTTGATGAGACGTAGCAGGGCGTCACGCGCGACAGGACCAAGGTGCCGCAGCATCTCGTTTGAAATCCCGTCCGGGCCAGGGGCTTTCTTCAGCTTGGTTTCTCGGATGTGTTGAGCGAGTTCTTCAGGGATGAAGGGCCCACAGCAGCGCCCGGCCTCTCTGTCTCCTTGACATTCCGCACAGCGCTTGAGGGCGGGTTCTTGCAACTTCTTCTTGACCTCTCAATCGATCTTCGTTGCTCGGATCTGCCGAGACACATAGGCACACGTCCTGGCAAAAGCACCCGCCTTGGCACGGTCGGTGACAAGCAGTCGGCCGCCGTCCTCCATTGCCTGGCCATCCCGCTGTTCTTCATCCGTTGCATTGTCCCACTTCTTTAGGAGTTTTGAAACTCTCCCCAGACTGGCTGGTCGGTTCAGCGTCTCAGAGACAAATTGACGGAAGCGATCACGGGACACTCTCCTCTCCACCTCCGCCGCCCTCTGTTTCGCCTCCGTCCACCTGGTCCTGGACCGCTCGTTCCCGGGCTTCCTGGAGGAGCCCGCCTTCAGACGCCTGGCGTCACGGTGGGAGGTGGGGGGCCGTCAGGCCCGCCGCGCCCGGTCTGCAGCCAGAACGCGGTCACCAAACGGGCTCCAACCGTGCCCTCTCCGAGAGGGAACTGGCAGCGGCCTCCCGCCGCGCCACCCCCGCCTGGCCGACCGCCGGAGACGGGCCCCGGCCACCTTCCCACCGTCCGGCATTGTTGAACTGTAGCCGGACGGTGAGCCCTCGTGAGTGGCCCCGAAAGGGGGAGCTCGGATGTCCAGTTCAGTTGCCATCACTGGCGGTCGCAGCCGCTAGCAAAAGGGGGGGGGGGGCCAAAGTCACACTCGCGGGACATAACATTTATCCGTCACCGGGAGGGGGGGGGGGGGTGATTTTTGATGTGATGTGATTTTTGGTGATCGGCTATTTTTTTACGTCCACGAGGTGCCGCGCAGTTGGCATTACTTATGCTTCATCCATCTGAATCTTGCGTGAAATCTTTAAGCTCAATTTAAGGCAAAATCACCAGTTCCATTTCCCGTCCCACGGTGCTTCCACCGGTCGGCCCACTGCCCATGACGACGGATCGGTGTAGCATAGTTATACATACCGGGTGGCCCAAAAAAAACGTTCCGAACTTTGGAGGCCTATATCTCAAATTCGAGTGCAAATAACGAGCCAAAATTTTCATCAAGGTAGCGTCACTTCTTTGCGCATTGGTATGCCAAATTATAACACTGTAACATCATTTTCAAGCCAGCAATCTAATGTTGAATTAAGTAACACGTTTTTGCTTTTTTTGCCGATGTTGAACGGCAGTAATGATTGGCTTAGACGTACCATGTTAGAAAAAAGAATGAAAAAATAGAACACGTGAATGAAACCAGAACGTGTGTTGTTATTTTAAATATTTTTGTCCCACTTATGTGCCAAATATTCAAATACTGAGCCAAAATAGTGTTAATGGATGCCATTTGTTTTAACAAGTCCTGTTTCGAGCAGGAGTGGCACGGTGCATGGGTTACTGCTGATCGCCCTCCCTTCAAGAAGATCAACTAGTTATCGACCGAATAAGGACAAAAAGCTAGAGGGAATGTGTCACCCTGAGGCCTGAACCATCAACGAGACTAGTTGCCAGTAGCAGTCATGGCTGCAGGCCGTGGTGCCGAGATGGAAGTGGCCCGTTCACTCATATTTTTTAGTAAAAATCTGAGCAAAAAAGTAATTTTTACATGGCATGCTAGAAACACGAACCATTTAAAAAGTAATAGACCGAATAACATAAAAATCACACCGTTTACTGAAAATGTATGCCGCATTGACTATTGGAAGTTTCAATGTTGTATCTTTATCACGTTCTGAGAAATATTGATTTAAAGTTGGGAACGTTTTTTCTGGGCCACCCGGTATACTGGAAGGTCAGGCACGCGGATTCATGACCTTACCACTATAAAACAATTCGGAAAAGTACAGATACCTCTTGCTTTGAACAAGCATGTGAAACCCAGAGAGCATTTTCAGACTATGACATTTACCTACCCATATAGGTAACATAACTAGTTGTGTGGCGGCGGGAGAGAGCAGGTAAACCGACCTCTGGAGACCCCCACAGGTTCCGAGCTTTCAAAATTGGCATCTGAGGGCCGCGCGCGACTCCTGCGGGACTTCGCAACGGCTCTATTGGGGCTCACTCAACCTGCCTAGTCTTACTGCTAAAAAGACTGGCCCTGAGCCCTAAGGACTTCATCAGTCTCTGCCAGCCCCAGGACCCACACCGGCTCATGGGGTCCCGACGTCGAAGTAAGAGGGAATCTGCGCGGGACCATCAGGACGTAAAGTAATTTCGATCAGGACCAACGTAAGGCAGTGCCGGAGACTGCGTGAGCCCTCTGATCTTCAGAAACCCACCCATGTATCTTTTCACGTAGAGGCCAGTTTAGGGCCCTCAGAGACCAGTACAGAGCCTGCAAACTACAAAGGCCAGTAGTTTGAGACAATCAGTGACCGAGTTGGGCTCTCAGAGGCTAATGTGGGTCATTACAGGCCAACATGGGCCCTCAGAGGTCAGCGTGGGGCCCTAAAAGACCGGCATGAGCCGTCGTTGGACCCCCACCCCAGAGGCCAGCAGAGGGCCCTCAAAGGCCAAGATGGGCCCTCCTCAGAGGCCAATGCAGGCCTTTAGAGGCCGGCGTCGGGTCTTCAGCAGCCAGTGCGGGGCCCTCATTGGCACCTAAAGGTTCGTCTTGGGACACCACAGACAGAAATAAGGCCACCAGAGACCGGTGTGAGACCCTCAGACGCCAGTTGGGACCCCTGAGGCCGGTCAGGGGCCCTCATAGGCCAGATGTGGGGTCTCAGAGGTTGATGTAGGCTCTTAGCGGCCAACGTGGGCGCTTGACCACCACTGAAGTTCCCTCAGAGGTCAGTGTAGGACGCTCAAAGACCGGTGTGGGAGCTATATTAATAGCTGGGCGTGTTTTTTTTGAGCCTCGTGACGATCGAATAATTGCCAGGGCCCCATACACCTATATGGGGGCCCATTGATTGTTTGAGGGGGGGGGGCAATGATATGATGGCCCCCTTTATTGACCTTTGGGGGGCATGGCCCTGATGCCCCCCCCCCCGCGACCGCCACTGTGTACACATTACACACATATGCCTCTGAGATAACATACTAGCTCATGCAAACTCTATGCAGGCCCCGGAGTTCCCACGCTAATCCTTAAGAAACCAAGCCGGCATACGGCGTCACCACCGGGCTTCTGAGGTACACAGCACCAACCCATGAGGTCTTACTTTAGTGTCGTAGAGCCAATCTCCTTTAGCAGGGCCCACCCACCACTGCCGAAGAGGGTCTCATGCCAGCCATTGCTGGGCCTACGAGAGCCTCAAGTAAACCCACGCTGATATTCCATATAAGATCCGGCCATACTCGTGAACCGGTGCCAGCGACGCTGACCGCCAAATTGACAGAATGCGAAACTGAGCCCACTCATGGGTGAAATTTACGTCCTTTGATGGCGCAAGAAAGAAAATGAAACATACGAAAAGCTTTTCTAGGACTTTTGTTCGATCTGAAAGGTGGGGCCAAAAGATAGTATGGCCCCACCTTTCAGCACCAAAGGGGGGGCCATGGCCCCCGTGGCCCCCCCCCCCCTGGGACCGCCAGTGGTTGCCATGGTGACGAAGGGAGAGGTGTTTAACTCATCCGCGTCGTCTTGGAAATATTCATGGGCGAGAGTATTGAAAATCGAGCAGAAGTTTCGCATTGCTGACGTCATTCTAAAAACATAAACACCAGTATATCGCTGGATATTTTAACCCTCGCCCGCACATGCCATTTTCCCATCCTAGAACGCACAAAGGGGGGGGGGGAGGGAGGTGGTTGCCACCCCCCGCGCCATTTCGTTCCTGTTAGAGATAGAGCTTAGCGGTAAAAACCAAAAAATTCTTTGGGAAGAGACGAATCCAATGATACCCAGTTTTATCTTCTCAGGTCAGTCATTGACCTTCCAGGTCAGGTCAAACTAAAAAATGTTGCTGTTTTGGGTCACCGTTGGATATCAAGTGCGCTGCTTATCATATACCGATGACGATGCTGTTTTCTGGTGCCAAGCCAGCTAGAACCTCTTTGTCACACTACCCGACCAGATTTTTGCTGCTGAGGTCATTTCAGGTCAAGCTAAGTCAAGGTCAATTATATGTGTTTGTATGTCTGTGTGTGTCTGTGTGTATACTGATGTGTGCACCGATTGTTTTTGTGTCCATATTACATGAAATCATGATCTGAGAAGCTTTTACCAAAAATGCAGTCAAAAAACTTCACAATAGGTAAATTCAGCTTGCCTAAAACGCAATTATCTTATATGACCTAGGTTGACTTTGACCCTGACCTTGACACCTGTACATCGTCGAACAACATGTTCCATGATAGGTGGGAGGTAAGACTGGCAAAAAAGGCCGAAATCAAGGTGTCAAAAGCTCACAAGGCCCATAGCAAACGCAAGATGTTGAGAATTGACCATTTGGGTCATGACATGACCTGAAAAACAAGGTCATATCTCCGAAACCAAAAATCACAGAAACTTGAAATTTTCAGTGGACATCAAGAAAGGATAGAGGAGCAGCTATACGAAAAATCAGCTTTCTAGCTCTGAAAATGTTGAGTGCAGAGCAGAAAGACTACCTGGGGGGGGGGGCAACCCCCCCCATGTGCGGGCGAGTGTTAACCCGCGCCCTGGTGGGGTCTGTTTATAACGCGACCTGGTGGGGGGGGGGCTATTTTTTGCCCCCCCCTCGTATCTCCGAAACTACTGGACGGATCCGCAAAATTCAAACGGCGTTCGATAGCCCTGTCAAATTTGTCGAGAGAAACCAAATTTTATTGACCTTGGGGTCACCGATGACGTCACAGGTCAGGTCAAAGATAAAATGTTTCACCGTTCACGGGGCTTCTAGGGAAAGCGCTATAACACCGAGTAAAACGCATTTTGTCGAAAATCAGCGATAAGACGTCAGTTGTCTAGTACATATGTTGCTATTAGAGGTCACTGGTCATACCAGGTCAGGTCACAGGTCAGGTCACCAAAGGTCACCAAGGGTCACCACATGAACCCAACTTTACTAAGGTTGTGCGATGAATGTTTTATGGCCAGTTTTTCATTTCCAACCCAATGGTGTTGGTTATAAGACCATCAGGTACGGTTTAGGTCACTTTCTGGTGGAGGTCAGGTCAAGGTCAGGTCAAAAAAGGTCAAATTTCAAAGTTGATATTTTTGCATAAGATGGGTATCGATTCGATGCAGCTCGTCACGGGGAGTCTAATGGTGGTCTTTGTTTTGCACTACGAGGTCTAGAATTGCTAAAAATTGAGTTTGAAAATTTGACGTCATCAATTTTGAACAGTTTTTTCGCTATAACTTCGCCAAAAAAAGAAGCATCGATCTAAAATTTGGTATGTGGATGGAAGGCGGTAAGGACTATCACATATATTCCGGTTTTTGCGAAATTCAAAAAACTTTTTGGATTTTTTGACTATTATATCCCAAAAATCTAGTTTTTGATTTTAAGGAGTCAAAATAAAAAAAATCAAAAATCCGAGATAGCAGTTTTGTAGCCCTGTCAATTCTACAGCTTTTATGTCTTAAACATTTTTCTGTATTTGCAAAGCTATAGGTCTGACAGCTCTTCCCGCGAAACCCTTTTTTGGGTCGAAAACGGCAGAACATGACGTCACTCTGACGTCATTTCCGGCCAACCTATCATAGCTTTTGGAAAAATTTTTGGTCACAATGTGTAAAATTGATGTCCGGGAGGGTACTGAAAGTTTGGTGACGATCGGCTCAGCGGTTCTGGAGATATATCGAAAAGTCTGGAGGGGGGGCAAAAAATAGCCCCCCCCCACCAGGTCGCGGGTTAATACGCTGGACAAGCATGCTCAGTGATTATGATGCTCCGTGATTTAGATGACATGCCGACCTGCTCTCTGCCAATGCGTTGTCGACCAAGGCTGCGCAGATAATAGGAAATGCTTCCAATACGGGTGTGATGCGTGGGCACAAAGAAGGTATTCCCCTCAACGTAACTATAGTCTGGCAAACCTAAGAAAGAATAGATTCAAAGGGCAAGCACCATTGGTACACGTTTTAATGTTGAATACAATATATTAAATAATATTTCTCTCACCACTTTTTACACAAATTTTCTTCTAACCATACACGTCCAGTGATCAAAACACGTGGCAAAATGATTCAGGAGCTTTTACTCTTCTCAGGTTTGCCCGACATGGTTATTCTTCACAAATGTTGGCGATTACTGCGTAATACCTAACATAGACACTTCTTACCTCCTATGTAACGGCAGCTAGCTTAAAAAACTACTACTTAATCAACCTGTATTGACATACAGAAACCGGGTGATGTTACACGATTAGCAACAAACCTGAGACCTCACAAACGGCAACCACAGGACAGATAAAACACAAAGATCAAACGCACAACAATGGCCGGTCATACCTTTGTCGATGCGTCTCAGCATTGCATTTCGACAGTCAAACCATTTACAGCATCGGTCATACCTGTGTGATCCTCAAAACTATGTACCAGTTAAAACTGACTTTTGTGAGTCAAACTGCCGAACCGTTAGACAGAAGTGGCATCAGTGCGGTTGTACTTCGCATGGGTACGCATGTGTTTGGTGAGGTGTGATCGTCGAGCGAAACATGCCGTGCACAAAGAGCAGCCGTACGGCCGCTCCCCAGTGTGGGTCCGCAAGTGGTTAGTGAGGCTGACCCGTTGAGTGAACCGTGCCGTGCAGATGGAGCAGCCATACGGCCGTTCCCCCGTGTGGATCCGCATGTGTTTTGTTAGGGCAAACTGTTGAGAGAACCGTGCCGTGCATATGGAGCAGCCGTACGGCCGCTCCCCAGTGTGGGTCCGCATGTGTTTAGTGAGGGTTGACCGTTCAGTGAACCGTGCCTTGCAGATGGAGCAGTCGTACGGCCGCTCCCCAGTGTGGATACGCATGTGTTGTGTTAGGGTAAACTGTTGAGAGAACCGTGCCGTGCATATGGAGCAGTCGTACGGCCGCTCCCCAGTGTGGGTTCGCATGTGTTTAGTGAGGGTTGATCGTTCAGTGAACCGTGCCTTGCAGATGGAGCAGTCGTACGGCCGCTCCCCAGTGTGGGTCCGCATGTGTTTAGTGAGGGTTGATCGTTCAGTGAACCGTGCCTTGCAGAAGGAGCAGTCGTACGGCCGCTCCCCCGTGTGGGTCCGCATGTGTGTGGTGAGGTGAGACCGTAAAGCGAACCGTGCCGTGCATAAGGAGCAGCTGTACGGCCGCTCCCCAGTGTGGGTTCGCATGTGTTTAGTGAGGCTGACCCGTTGAGTGAACCGTGCCGTGCAGATGGAGCAGCCATACGGCCGTTCCCCCGTGTGGATACGCATGTGTTTTGTTAGGGTAAACTGTTGAGAGAACCGTGCCGTGCATATGGAGCAGCCGTACGGCCTCTCCCCAGTGTGGGTCCGCATGTGTTGAGTGAGGTTGAACCGTTGAGTGAACCGGGCCGTGCAGTGTGAGCAGTCGTAAGGCCGCTCCCCCGTGTGGGTCCGCATGTGTGTAGTGAGGGCGGAGCGTGTAGTGAACCGTGCCGTACAGACAGAGCAGCCGAACGGCCTTTCCCCAGTGTGAGTCAGCATGTGTGCCGTGAGGTGTGACCGTAAAATGAACCGTGCCGTACAGATATCACAGCGGTGCGGCCGCTCCCCAGTGTGAGTCCTTTGATGGCGTTTCATGTCGCTGGACTTGTCGGTCGAGTACTGACACCATTCGCACTTGAATCTGCCGTTCCTGTCGACGTGACCATGACTTCTCTTCACGTGTCTGTCCAGACGTTGTTGTCCCAGACATCGGAAGCCGCAGTGGGGACACCGAAGTGTACCACCAATACCTGTAAAACACATTTAGAGATTGAGGGAGATCGACAATGTTTCTAGCCAGATATGTAAAACATCAGGCTAAAATGATTGCATTGAGAAATGACAGTGAAGGATATGCATCGGTTCCCTTAGTGTCGGTGAAGTAGGATTAAGGCGCTAGCTGTCCCATCCGCGGCTAGCCGGAGAAGTATGAGAGCCACTGAATACTGACCGATGAATGACATGCGGTCACGACGAAGGGAGAGGTCGAGGAGCAGTGGTGGAATAAGCAGTCACCAGCCGGTAACCTTGCGACGGCAATAAACACGTAATGAACATTGGACAAGATCGGTTGCTTGACAAAGATTAAAATGGAGTGGCCACAAACGCAGTACGTAGTGGTGCCGGAACCCCCAGGTTTTTGATGCGGCTCGAAAAGCCATGAACCAATACGGAAGGAGCATGAATCCTCGCATGATCCTTTGTTTTAATAGTTGAGATCACCGAAGATCTTAGTTCTATTAAAACAAACACGAACTTTGGAACATATTTGACTAACTCGAGGGCAGCGCTTTTCGAGGAGCGCTGGGGCCCGAAGGTTTGGACTTTGAATTAGGAAAAAAGCCCGCCCGCCGCAAAACGCAAACACCGCAAAACGCGCGAAACGCACGCCCGAAACGCCAACGAAAACGTCGCAAAGAATAAACAAACACCCGCCCGCCGCAAAACGCAAAAAAACGCAAAAACGCCGCAAAACAATAAAACCGCCCGCATCGCACGCCCGCTAACCGCCAACCGAAAACGCCTAAAAATCGCCCGCCCGCCACCAAAAGAAAACACCGCAAAAAACGAAAAAACGGCCGCCAACCGCAAACAAATTTAACACCGCAAACGACGCAAAAAAAAAGAAAACCGCCCGCATCGACCGCCCGCCCGCGCCGCCGCCAAAGACAAACACCGCAAAAAAAAAACACAAAACGCCCGCCCGCCGCAAAACGTTAACACCGCAAAACGTGCAAAACGCACGCCCGAAACGCCAACGCAAACGTCGAAAAAAATTCGCCCGACCGCCGCAAACTACACAAAAAACGGCGAAACGCCGAAAGAAATAAAACCGCCCGCATCGCACCGACGCTAACTGCTAACCGAAAACGACTAAAAGTCGCCCGCCAGCCGCCAAACACAAACACCGCAAACAAGCGCCCGGCCGCAGGAGGATAATAATTTATCAACGACTGGCATGCCGCTAGGATTCCAGAGATTCTGCCTTTTGGTCATTTTCAAAAATCAAAAAGATATCTGCAAAAATCTCCTAGATGAAAGCGCCCAATCAAAAACCGGATGGCACGTGCGTGTTCCTCGCCCCCAACTTTCTTCAGGTCAATCGTCATTTGGGTCACCTAACGCATTGACGACTGGCTGGGTGGAATGAACATTGCGCCCAGAAACGTAAGTATATTGTCCAAAAAGAATCCCCAGAATGGTGGATCCCAAAAGTTTGGAACTACCTACCACTTAAGGCCTGGCTACACTATGCGTTTTCTGCGTGCGTTTTTGCAAGTTTGCGTGTTTTGCGTAATATCGTTCTAGGAAAAAAAGTTATAAACAATATAATTTTTACTTTGGTTATATACAAAAGCTAATATAACTCTTATGTAACTAAAATTTAAGGTGAAAAACATCACAAAAACGTAATATCGTTCTTTTTTCTAGAACGATATCACGCAAAACACGCAAACACGCAAAAAACGCACGAAGAAAACGCATAGTGTAGCCAGGCCTTTAGACCCACTGGACGACACCTTAAACAGTTGCCGACCGGATGACACCCATTGTTTGGTCACCCACGCCATAGTATGCATCATGGGTGCACCGAAATGCAGGGCCTATTTTAACATGTTAATTGGGGGAGGGCAAATGCCCCCTCACTCAACAGAATTGCCCCCCCCCCAGTCGTCGAGATTTGCCCACTATAAAAATGGACATAAAGGAATAGGGTGACAAACATACTACTGTGACTTGTTTTACAATGGATGTCAAATGAGTCAATCTGCAAGTAATGACCAGTGGTGGATCCAAGGGTGGGTCATATGGGTCATGACCCCCCGCCCTCTTGGGGCCCGGGGACATCACAGGCCTGCCAGGGGCACCACCCGCCTGTCAGGGACACCACAGGCCTGTTGGGAGCACCATCGACCCAGCAAGAGCACCATAGGTCTGCCAGGGGCACCACAGACCTGCCAGGGGCCCCACCGACCTCGCAGGGGCACCTTGGGCCTGTCAGGGGCACCACTGGCCTGTCGGGGGCACCACAGGCCTGTCAGGAGCACCATCAGCCTAGCAAGAGCACCATAGGTCTGCCAGGGGCACCACAGACCTGCTAGGGGCTCCACCGGACTCGCAGGGACACCACCTTGGGTCTGTCTGAGGGGTATTTACCACCACAGGCCCACCAGGGGCACCACAGGCCTGCCAGAGGCATCACAGGCCTAGCAAGGGCACCACGGACCTGTCAGCGGCACCACGGGCCTGTCGGGGGCACCTCAGGCTTGTCAGGCCCAAGGGACACCACAGCCCTTTCAGGGGCACCACAGGCCTGTCAGGGGGACCAGAGGCCTAGCAGGGACACCACATGCCTGGCAGGGGCACCACCAGCCTCGCAGGGACACCTTGGGCCTGTTAGTGGCACCACGTGCCTGTCGGGGACACTCCAGGCTTGTCAGGAGCACCACAGTCCTGTCAGGGCCCAGGGGCACCAGCGGCCTAGCAGAGGCACCACCGGCCTAGCAGGGACACCACCGGCCTCGCAAGGGCATCATGGGCCTGTCAGGGGCACCACGGGCCTGTCGTTGGAACTTCAGGCTTGTCTGAAGCTGACTTCACCTGTCATTGGGTTTTTACCTGTTGGTGATCAATACATCACACAATCATACAATCAGGGGCACCACAGTTCTTTCAGATGCACCGGCTGCCTAGCACCATGGCACCATGTTTGGCCGGGATCGCGATTCGGCGTATGTCGCCTCGCATAAGCCGCGCGTTTGCAGTCTTTTCGTGGTTTCAAACGTTCAAACATGGGATATGATGTTGCTCCCATGCATTAGGGTGGGTGTCAAGGTCACCGGAAGGTCAGGTCATTTACCTTTGATGACCTCGGTTCACATTTTCGAGTTTTATATGTTTCTAGGCTAGTTTTTGGAGCTGAATTAGAATTTAGCAACCATTCGACCGTTTACAAAGTAGTTTTGGTGCCTTTGTAACATGTTACGAAGCTGCCAGACGCGGTTGCCACCTACTACGAATACCCGACAAAACCCTTACTGGTTGAACTGACCTGACATGACCCGACCTGGCCTAAATGCATGAAGACATCATCTATGATCTGATGATCATAACTAACATGATATTCGTGATCAGCACCCCGAAAACAAACATAGCAGCCACCCTTTACGACGCTCTAACAGGTCCCGATTTTTCCGACTTTTTGGTCATTGACCTGACCTGGAAGGTGAACCGATGACCTAGGACCTTAAAATTGGGTATCATCTGCTTCCTCTCGTGACGGGCAGCATGCTAGTTTTTTCCACGAAGCTCTAGCTCGATCAGGGGCGAAACGGCAAGGGTGAGGGTCCAACGGACCCCCCCCCCCCCCATATACGTTCGCAGCTGGAAAAACACCACTACGGGCGAGGGTTAATGGATTATTAAAGACAATTTTCCAGGTTGCCCCCCCCCCCCAGTCAAATTCCCTTAAAATAGGCTCTGCCGAAATGTCCAAAAGTCCAAGTTTTCCGGTGTGCAGGGTCATTTTAAACGGCACGTTGCACGTGGTTCTGGACTTTTCCGGCCACTTTGCGACATACCCATGGGCAGTGCAACGAATGGTGGTTGACCTGCATGTAAGAAAATGGGGGGTCGTTTGGATCGTTTTCGAGCAATCTGCCGTGGAACGCATTTTTTCATTTTGCCCATTGGCTTAACACGGGAATTTTCAAAGTCACGTGGCACGTGCACCAGATTGTCCGCGGAGGGGAGACCCATACCAGAACGTAGATCACCTGGCGTATAGGGGAAGGAGGGTGAATTGCGCCACCTTAAGGAAAAACGCTAATTGTAAGAAAACCGCTGGAGATATAAGCATGCATTGGTGACCATTTCAAAGAGGAACTCATTGGCTACGATTTAAGAGCCTCCCGATCAATTAAGAATGTTTCGTTTGCTTCTGACAGCTGCTTTTTCAGAAACATGTAAAAGGGCGCATTTGCCAACAACTGCTGTAAATTGCGCCAGGGGGATGGCGCAATTAGAACCCAATTGCGCCCTATACTTTAACATGGCTAAGCGAATGAGACGGAATGCATACACCCCGGCAGTCTAATGTCATTGCGGCTTACTTTAACCCTCGCCCTGGCAGGGCATTTTTCATAACACGGCCTGGCAGGGGGGGGTCGATGCGACCCCCCCTCGCGATTGGCTCCTATGGCACCTAGAAACACCAAATTTGGTAGGTAGGTGGGCCCCCTGGAGTTCTCGCCCCTGTGCAAATTTGGTTGCTCTAGGTCATTATTTAGGGGGGTTTTGGGGGGTATAAATGTAAAAATTTCGCTAAAAACAGGTCAAAAGTTTTTCGCTTATAACCTTTGATCTAATTATGATAGAGCAAAAAGAAAAGCACCAGTGAACTCAGCACGTCAAGGCGCGTCGAATGATATACTTTTTAGCTTGCTTAAGTGTACTTTAAGTTTTTCTTAAATTTTAAGTAAACTTAAATTAATAAATTAAGTTCAAGTTAACCAAATTGCATCATATCGCATATCATTCGATTCGGCTGATCACCAGGAACACAATGATACCATTTTTTAAGCTCTAGCGTCATTATGTGCCAAGTTATTGGCAAAAACGTCATTTGACCTCAGTTGACCCCATTTGACCTGACCCATGGATGAGCACACCAAACAAAGAAGCACCAAGTGACCTGCTGTTAAGTACCGTGGTTTCAAAGCACAAAAGTGATAGAACGAAGCGGATATCT